GTTCTGTCTGAAGCAAGGAGGCTCTAGAATCAGCCTCACAGCCATGGATACCCACTTCACGGCCTTCATCACGCCTCCCTCAGCTCTGACTGGGCCTCCTGAGGCTTCTTCCCTGAGGCCCTCTTCGGGCCCAGCTGGCGGCCTGGTTTGTAGGGTGAAGGCCGACCTCCCTGACCTGCATTGGTCCACCTGAGGTCCCCTTTGTGACCCCACCCAAAGTTCTTAGCCTTTGCTCCATGAGAGCTGGACCTCCCTCCTTCTCCCCAAAGGTTCAGTCACACATCTCAGAAGGCCTTGCAGCCCATTCTGTCTTCCATGACAACCTGAGCAGCCCTTAACCTGAGGGAAAGGGGACACTGGAATAGCTAGATTGTTCCTAGGAAATCGTGCTGGCCACTGAAGATTGCCATCATCCTATGAATCCAAAAATTATACGTTTGTCATTTCCTGGCATTTTGTGGTTATTGACATCAAGCTTACCAGTTCTCAGATTTAAGGATTTACTTCTTTATCTTTCTGAAAACCAACCTGACACTTCTCTGCCTTCAGCTGATGACCTGTCAACATTTTTTTGGAAGTGACAAGAAGAGGTATTATGGCCCATGCCCTGGGCTGGAACCCATTTGGACTTGTGGAATAGCGTCCTGTGACCCAGCAAGGCACCTATGAATGGGCCACAAAGTGAAAGAAAAGCATGTTTAGGTTCCATTGTTCTTAAGAAAAGTGATAACTGCCAGGCATCTATCAAGTGGGGCCATGTGTAACTTCTAGTAACAGAGCGGAAGGAATAGGCGGCCACATGACTACCATGCATGGAGTGTTTACCAGGCATGTTGAAGAACCTAGCTCGGTTTATGCCTCTTAGTGTCGACGTGCTGAGGACAATTACTCCTCCTCAGGTACTGCCCCACATTTACAGGTGGAGAGCCTGGGGGACTGAGGTAAATACCGAGCCAAGATCAAACTGTAAGGCGCTGTTGAAGATGCTGAGTGTCACACTGTTGGCTCTGCTACCTTTCCCATTTCAGGTACCTGCCAGCAGGCAACGCGTTAGATTCTGGCCTGGGGTGCGGTGGCTGTGCAGGCAGGTTGAGGATTTTGTAAGTCACACAAAGGCCTACAGAGTGTATATAATGATGACTCTAATTGATACACTTCATTTATAACATTAAGGTGTGATTTCCATTTTCTACCACAAACTATACATATGAGCCCTGAATGATTTTTGTGGCTTCTGGAGTGGAAGTGTGCATTCCCGGGGCTCTGAAGTTCTCTTGGAATGACTGCCCAGAAGAAGTCCATACTGCACAGCTCAGGAGGAGCCTAGGAATAGCAGCTCATCAATCTTCATGAAAAAGTGTGGTGGACACAGCTGTGTGTCCCCCATGATATGATTTTCTTCTCTCCTTTGCATGTCATGGGGCCAAATTTCCCAGCCATGTGGCTAGGACTAGTCACTGTTAAGATAGCAGAAGTACTGCATACCACTGGCTGGCCAGCCTCTGAAGTGCCCCCGAGTGATGTTCCACATGCTTTCACTTCAGATTGATGCAAACAGGCCCAGAGAACTCACCATCTACCTGTTGAGGAAAAGTGGCTATGGAATGGAAGGGTCTGGAGTCTCCAAGTCATAGCTTACAGGACACAACCTGAGGCAGAAATACAACTACACCGTGGGAAGTCACTGTTGTTTCATCTTCTGTCACAGCAACTCATGCTCCCCAAAAGAACACAAAACTCCTGTGGATTTTTGGATGGAATTACACTGAATGGAGAATTGCCAACATAACAATATTGAGTCATGTCATCCGTGAACATAATCTACATCTTTATTAACTTACTTGTCTTTCACAAAGTTAATCTCATTTTAAAAATCTTAAATTAGATTCTTTTTTTTTCCCTGTAAGAGTCTCGCACATCTTCCACTCAGATGTATTCCTTTGACCACTATTGGTTTCCTTACCATTGTAGATAGCATTTTTTAAATTCTAATGTATTTTTTTAATCAAGGTGTCACTGATATACACTCTTATGAAGGTTTCACATGAAAAAACAATGCGGTTAGTACATTCACACATATTATTGAGTCCCCCCCATATGCCATTGCAGTCACCATCCATCAGTGCACTAAGACGCCGCAGAGTCACTACTTGTCTTCTCTGTGCTACACTGTCTTCCCCATGGTCCCCCCACCACGACCATGTGTGCCAACCAAGAGTATAAGTCTTTCACTTCCTTGGTTAGGTTTATTCCTAGGTATTTTATTCTTTTTGATGCAATGGTGAATGGAATTGTTTTCCTGATTTCTCTTTCTATTGATTCGTTGGATTTATTTTTAAACATGTCTTCTGAGATGCACTTTGTATACCATAATATTCACTCGTTTAATGTGTAGAGTTTGAAGCTTTTTTAGTAAATGTTTATAATTGAAGTACCATGACCACAACCCAGTTTTGGAACATACCTGTCTGCCCACAATATTCCCTAGTGCCCACTTGCCAGCATTTCCACTCCTTCATCAGCACCAGAGAACCACTGCTTTATTTCTGTCTCCATACTGTTACCCTTTCTAGAAAAATCCCTGTGCATGGCATCATGACCATGTACTCTTTTCTTGGATATTCTATAAAATCATGTTACATCTGAATAATTACGGTTTTGTTTCTTTGTTTGCAGTCCTTCCTCTCATTTTCACCTCTGGCTATTTTCTTAGTGGTTACTCTTAACATTCTAACATACAGAACCTGCTGAAAACCCAAAGTTAATCAATAACTCAGAATACACAAGGACATTAAAAAGTTCTAGCCTTAAATATTCTTCCCTTACCTTACATGTTGTCTGTGAACTCCAGGGTATAGACAGTTCAAAGCTCTAATCAACACAAGTGTAGATGACCCATGTGTGTACCAATTTCTTTGTTTATTACTGTTCCTCAATCCAACTCCTCCTTTCTGGGTCCAACTGCTTTGTTCCTAAAGACTCTCCTTTCATAAGCTCTTTATGTTCATTTTCTCATCGTTCTTGACTGGTGGGTTTGTGGATAGAAAATTACCGGATGACCACTACTTTTGGTCAGCACATTGAGGATCCTATTTAACTGCTTTTGCTCTTTGTTTAGAAGTCTGGGGCTCATTGACTGCATTTTACATCCTTCATCATTGATTTCTGTTTTCTCCCTGAATTCTTTTAAGAATTTGTGTCTGAAATTTCTGCATTTTCACTATTATACGTCTAGGTGGGAATATATTTTTATTTATTCTGCTCAAGACTCAATGTACTATCTCCATCTATGGCTTTCATAATTCTGGAAATTTTTTGACCTCCTTTCAGTACCGCCTTCTTCACCATCTATTTTTATCCCACTGAAATGCCTTGAAACACACATGGGGTCTTCTCACATTCATCTCCATGCCACTTTAGGACTCTACCACTGTTTCCTTCATGCTGTTTGTCTTTGTGCTGTGTTTCAGGCAATTTCTGCAGATTTATCCTCCAACTTCCATAAGTCTCTCACCAGCACTGTCTTGTCTAGGTATCGGTGCTGCCCCGGCATTGCAGATCTCAGCAACTTCATTTTCACTATCTTGTCAAAGGTGCCCAGGGAAAGGCAGGCAAACCACCCCGATAGACAATTGAGCTCAAAAAAGCCAAAGTCCCAGGCAGATGGATGCAAGGGTCTGCTGAGTGTGCAGTTTTATTTGATAAATCATCTGCCTGAAAATCATCTCAACATGCCATGGCATCCATCTGGCAGCCTACCGCTGACCTACTGGTTCTCCATGGAGAACACTGGAAAATTTCTGGAGACATTTTTCAGTCTCAACTGGGGTAGATACCCCCTACTGGAATCTGTAGAGTAGAGGCCACAGGTGCCGCTTACCATCCTATGGTGCCCAGCAGAGCCCCTCTCCCCACAGAACCCAGCCCAAAGCATCAATACTGCTGAGGAAACCCTTCTGTAACCAACCAATTATTATATTAAAGTTCTTTGAGCTCTAAACATATTTGCTTCTTGTGTGCACATGTAAGCTCACTGATAGCCTCTGGCTCAGCTTAGAGTTGGCTGTGTTCACTGACGCTGTACCTGTGTGCTTATGCCATAGAAGTGTTTCCTTTTCTGCCTTTGATTTTCTTTTGGTATCATTAATCTACAATTACATGAGGAACTTATGGTTGCTAGACTTCCCCCATCACCAAGTCCCCCGCACATACCCCACTGCAGTCACTGTCCATCTGTGTAGTAAGATACTGTAGAATCACTACTTGTCTTCTCTGTTGCACAGCCCTTCAATGTCCCCCTCACATTACACATGCTAATAGTAATGCCCCCTTTCTATTTCCCTGCCCTTATCCCCCCCTTCCCATCCTTCCTACCCAGTGCCTTTCCCTTTGGGATCTATTAGTCCATTCTTGGGTTCTGTGAGTCTTCTGGGGTTTTGTTCCTTCAGTTTTTCTTTGTTCTTGTACTCCACATATGAGTGAAACCATTTGGTACTTGTCTCTCTCTGCCTGGCTTATTTCACTAAGCATAATACACTGTAGCTCCATCCATGTTGTTGGAAATGGTGAGATTTGTTTTCTTCTTATGGCTGAAGAATATTCCATTGTGTATATGTACCACATCTTCTTTATCCATTCATCTACTGATGGATACTTAGGTTGCTTCCATTTCTGCCTTTGATTTTTGACAATGTATGTACATGACATATCTGCCTAGATTTCAGGAACTGAAAGGCTTCAAAGAAATGAAGAGGTTTCTGAATAAAACAGCAGAGGAGACTATAAGCTTCAGAAGTACCAGGGAAAGCCAAATATGTTTTATTTTCAATAAGCAGATGACACAATGTGATGTGTACATAAGGAGTTCCTTGATGTATACATAAGAAGTTCCTTCATGAAACGAATGTCAGCGACTGCGAAGAGCAGCCCATTCAGACTTCCTCTGAATGTTTGGCATAGGAATGGGGTTCACTCGATTTGACCATTTTGTTGAACATTTGTCACAGAAAAATAAGGAGGACTTTTAGTGAGAGGATGGCCATTGTGATTCCTAGTGGGAGCACATAGGTGAAGCATTTCTTTACTAGCATTTCTTTTTTAACCAGAAAACTAGGTGGAAAGTCAAGGGTGGTTGGGCCATAAAAATCCACATAGAAATTCCAGGTCACTGCAGTAATATCACAAGTGCCACTGAAGAAAAGAAAGGAGCCGGTGATTTTGTAATAAAATTGGAGGAATTCTGGGTGTGCATGACTGATCAGTGGACCCAAAATACCTCATAAACAAAAACGAGGGCGACTGACACCATGAAGTTCGTGGCCAGTATTGGTTCCCACCCATACCGAATTTCACCTGAAAGGACACAGCTCCCGTTAAGACTGCTCTCCATGCCCAGCGAAACCATCGAGCTGAAGATGTTCATGTTTTGAAAATAGAAAGCACCCCAAAGTCCAATGAACACAACAGAAGAAATGTTGCTCTCAAATTCCCACACGTTCCAGGATCTGCTTCTGGCTAGAATTATGCCCAGAGACCATACCCAAATGCTAATAAGGACGCCCATCGTTTTGGCGAAGAAGTGCTTCCACTCAGCTTGACAACTGGGTAGAGGCATCATGAAGACACAACAGGAACAGTAGAAAGAAAAAACAAATAGATGCAATGAGATGCAGTTTATCAAGGGCTAATGTTTACACACTGTCCTTGTCTAACAGTTACATTTAAGCGTTCTGTGAATGCATTGGCTGTAAACTGGTGTTCTAAAAATTTTATGTAAGAATAAGATACCTAGAAATCCCTGAACATGGTGAGCATATTAATTTGCAAACATTATTGGAATATAATTTGACAGCATCTTTCAAAAGCTGAAATGTTCATACCAGTGTCCAGAAGCTCCAATTCCAGGAATTAATACTGAGGTACTTATAAGATTTTGCAAAAATGACACAGAGACACATTAGTTTCAGTACCATTTATCACAGACATTGGCAGTGACCTAAATGTCAATTATTAGAGGAATACTTAAATAAACGAGTGTAGATTCAGGATTATGGTGGAGTACCTACTTGGCCATTATCAAAAATTAGTTAATCTATTTGAATTCTCTGAGGGAACTTTTGTTTTATACCCAAGAAAACTAAATAAATAATAATACACATGATACATCCATTTGTGTTGAAACAGGCTAATTTTCTTTATATATATATACACAAATAGGTCTATACATGCAGTTTTTTTAAAGGGTAGAAAGATGCACACAGAAAGAGTAATTCTGGGGAGACTGATGGAGAAGGGTAAGGATTTTCATTCTTATTTACATATTTTTCTATAATAGGTAAATAAAAATCAAACCTTTGCATAGTTTTAATGAAAAACATACTTTTATAATTAAGAACAGAATGAATATAACCTTGAAGATCTTCACACAGCAAATCATGCCTATTAAATTTTTCCCCATTACTTGCTCAAAATCCCAATTTTGATTTTGCGTTTTTGAGTTAAAAATATCCTGCTTTTCTTTTTTTTAGAAGAAAAGAAGACAATTTCAAATTTTTAACTACCAGAATATCTTTTCCATCCCTTATGCCCTTCTCGTTCAACATAAACAGACAATTAACTAATATCCAGATGTATTTTTGTATTTTGCATGAAGCAGATAGCTCCCAGGGAGACTGTGACCACCTTATTTGGATCTCTTCTCAGTTTGAATCCTGGGGAATACGTGGCAGGGAACATCAGGAAATGATACTCCTAGGTCCTCTCCCTCTTGATTAGCAGAAGGGAAAGTGGCAGGGTTGCTCAGGATGGACCAGTGTGTGGGCAACCTAGGCACCTGCTGTGCATATTTTAGAGGCCGCCTGACTGTGCCACCTTGCTCTGAAGCCTGATATTCCCAATACTGCTTCCACTTCTGCAGTCTTTCTAATCGCTTGTGGGCAGTTGCTCTACTGCTTGGGAAGTGACATTAGCAAGATGGGTTTGGGACTGGCTGCCAATTTGGTTAAGTCCCTCTTCCCAGGAATAAGACTTCCTTGCCAATGAAGGTCAGAGGGAATGGCCCACAGGACCAGTGAGGTTTTACAGAGTGAGGGAATCTGGAAGGAGAATGTTACAGTTGCAGGGAAATGTGCCAGCTTGGGGAAGTTTGGGGACCTCTGTGCCAAAACTGGTGGGGTGGGGACCCGTTTTCCCTGAAGAACAAATTGAAAGAGTTCCTAGATGTTTGTTTACCATTTTACAGTGGGCCTTGTAGAAGGACTAAAGAGTTCAGAAGACCGGGGAATGGCCAATATTTGTTGTAGCAGTGGGAAATGAACAGAAAGGTGAAAGGTGCAGCCAATTAAAAGATTCACATAAACAGAAGCACCTCCAGTAAAAGAGGCATGGTTATGTAGTCTTTGGGCCTCTGAACAAAGTCCAGTGAATCCATGCTTTTCACCAAAAGTGCATTACAGGTGTATTTTGTGCTTTGTATAGGTCATGCCCTATTTCAAATACTTTATGACTATCAATACATTCAAACTTCATGGCAGCCAAATGACAGATGTACAATTATGCCCCCTGTGGTATAGATGAAGGAGCTGAGCAGAGTGTCACACAGATACACACGGCAAAACCAGGCTCCAGAGCCCTTATTATTGACCCAGAGCTTCCCTGCTGTGCTGATGTTGGGTGGTGTTTATTCACATAAAAAACATATGAACAAGAACTAGTCAAACCCTATGTCAGTTAAAACTATAGCTATTTATGGCATTCTCTATGTCACATTAAAAAAATGAAAGTGATACTTGCAGGATTGCAGTGTATAAGAAAGTATAAATGCATGCTTCCTTGTCTCCTTTATCTCTGTGACTAAAAACTTTTTAGATGCTGATGCTTTGTACATATACACAGTGGGATATTATTCAGCCATAGGAAGAAAGGAAATCCTACCACTTGCAACAACATGGATGAAGCTAGAGGGTATTATGCTCAGTGAAACAAGCCAGGCAGAAAACGACAAGTATCAAATGATTTCACTCACATGTGGAGTATGAAACAAACAGTAAAACTAAAGGAACAAAACAGCAGCAGACCCACAGTACCCAAGAATGGACTAACAGTCCCCAAAGGGAAAGGGACTGGGGAGGATGGGTGAGAAGGGAGGGATAAGGGGGGCAAGGGCGCATTACAATGAGCAGATATAATGTAGGGGGTGAGCACAGGGAGGGCTGTACAACACAGGGAAGACAAGTAGTGATTCTACAGCATCTTACTATGCTGATGGGCAGTGACTATAATGGGGTATGTGGTCAGGACTTGATGATGGGGGGAGTCTATTAAACATAATGTCTCTCACATAATGTAGATTAATGATTAAAAAACATAGGCAAAATTCTCTTGAACATAAACATGAGTGACTTCTTCATGAACGTATCTACCCAGGTAAGGGCAACAAAAGTAAAAATGAACAAGTGGGACCACATCAAACTAAAAAGATTCTGTATAGGAAAGGACACCATCAATAGAACAAAAAGGCATCCTACAGTATGGGAGAATATATTCATAAATGACATATGTGATAAAGGGTTGACAACCAAATTATATAAAGATCTCATGCACCTCAACAAACAAAAGCAAATAATCCAATTTAAAAATGGGCAGAGGATCTGAACAGGCACTTCTCCAATTCAGATGGCCAACAGGCACATGAAAAGATGCTCCACATGGCTAATCATAGGAGAAATGCAAATTAAAACCACAGTGAGATATCACCTCACACCAGTAAGGATCACCACCATACAGAAGACAAACAGCAACAAATGTTGGTGAGGATGTGGAGAAAGGGGAACCCTCCTACACTGCTGGTGGGAATGTAAATTAGTTCAACCATTGTGGAAAGCAGTATAGAGGTTCCTCAAAAAACTAAAATTAGAAATACCATTTGACCCAGTATTTCCACTCATAGGAATTTACTCTAAGAATGCAGCCACCTAGTTTGAAAAGACATATGCACCCCTATGCTTATCACAGCACTATTTACAATAGCCAAGAAATGGAAACAACGTAAATGTCCATCAGTAGGTGAATGGATAAAGATGTGGTATATATACACAACGGAATATTTTTCAGCCATAGGAAGAAAACAAATCCTACCATTTGCAACAACATGGATGGAGCTAGAGGGTATTATGCTCAGTGAAATAAGCCAGGCAGAGAAAGACAAGTATCAAATTATTTCACTCATATGTGGAGTATAAGAACAAAGAAAAAAACTGAAAGAACGAAACAGCAGCAGACTCACAGAACCCAAGAATGGACTAACACTTACCAAAGGGAAATTGACTCGAGGATGGGGGGGAAGGGAGTGACAAGCAGAGAGAAGGGGCATTACAGTTCGCACACATTATGTAGTCATGGGACAGGAAAGTCACTATACACAGAGAAGACAAGTAATGATTCTATAGCATCTTACTATGCTAATCGTCAGTGACTGTAATGGTGTAAAGTGGTAGGGACTTGATAATAGGGGGAGTCCAGTAACCATAATTCTGACTATTAATTGTTCAAGTAATTGTGCATTAACAGTACCAAAAAAAACCCGATACTTTTATTTAAAAACGTACAAGGGTAGTCAGAAATGCGGAGAAATTGGAATCATTGTGCATTGCTAGAGGGGATGTGAAATGTAGTTGCTGTAGAAAAGGGTACATCAATCTCTTAGAATATTAAACAGTAGTATCATGAGATGCATCAATTCCACTTCTGGGTATATACACCCAAAGGAAGACAAAGCAGGGAATCAGATATCTGCACTCTTATGTTTATAGGAGCATTATGTACAATAGCCAAATGATGGGAGCAACCCAAGCATCCACTCACAATGAGAGGGAAAACAAAATGTGGTCCATACACACAACAGAATTTTATTCAGCCCCTGAAAAAGGAAGTACATTCTGACACCTGCTTCAACACGGATGAACCTTGAGGACATTGTGCTCAGTGACATAAGCCAGTCAGAAAAGGACAGATACTGTAGGACTCCACTGGTCTGAGGCACCTAGCGTAGTCAGATGCTTAGATGGAGAAAGTAGATGGTGGGTGCCAGTGGCTGGGGAGGGAGGAATGGGGAGTTAGGACAGAGTTTCAGTTTGGGGAGACCATGAAGGTCTGGAGATGAATGGTTTTGATGGTTGCACTTCAGTCTGCATGCCGTTAATGCTGCTGAACTGAATACCTAAAAATGGTTAAAACAGTAAATTTCATGTTATATGTATTTTATTACAAAAAATGTATCACAATAAAGCCGGTATTTTATAAAGAGCAAAGATGAGCTCAACTTGCTGAAGGAATGAAACCCCGAGGTTTGGTGACAGCATCTCTTCCCTTCTTAAGGCACAGGCTAGCCATTTGCTTTCTCACACTCACTCAGTTGGATGTGATGGTGGAGATGACATTACCCAGTATTGTGAGTTGGAAATTACATTCAAGTTCATACTCAAATGGCCTCAGAAAAGCCAACAGCACAGAGGCTAGCAGACATGCCCAACATGGGAAATCATCGGCGGCTGTCGCTTGCCCTTGGTAGGCTCATCTAGTGACCCTTAAGCTTTTCACAGGAAAGATGAACGAGTG